AAGTGCTGGGGAAGCGGCCCAGAGATTCATAATTGTCAAGCAGTTGTTACTAAAGACATTACAGACAGCTGCTATTACAGGGTCCCTGGGATGGAACCCAGAGTAGGTGGTGGGCCCAGTCCCCCCCAGCATGGAAAAAACTGGCTTTAGTGATAGGGGTTTGTCCTGCCATGGTCCACTTAGCAGGGCCACAGAAACGATGAAGTTGGGTTTCTCCTCATTTCCCCCTGCTGGCCAATGATGAGAGTAGCTCAACAGATATCAGGCGGGAGTCTAAATGGAAGGCTGCTGTGAGCCTCTGAGGCAAGTCATCCTCCTGAGAGCGCGGGATCCACTCAGCTCGAGGAGGAGCTTTGTCACAATATCTATTTGTAAACCACTTCTCACAGAGCGTGTGAATCTGGAGGAGCTATTCAAAAGGAAATCTTTACCTGCCATAGTATTAACATGGGAGATTATTAATGGTGAAGGAATGTTAAAGCTCTAATCCTGCCCCCTGGGGCATCCCACCACTGTGTCCTACTGCGTCTGATGCTCCGGTCTCTCCCAAGGAAAGGCAGAGAGTTGGGAATAGGGCCTGCAGCCATTGAGCACAGCTCAGCTCTGGGAAGGCTCAAGTCACAGGGACTGGACACCGCACCCAGCTGTACACCCTTCATCCCTGTTACTTGGGCTGTTGGTTTCTGGGTTGCGTGTCACTCATGGTAAGCGTTGAGACTGGCCTGCTGCCTTTCTCTTTCTGTACACAGTGTCGCTTCCTGGTTCTAACAAAGTAGCACAGGGCAGTTGTGTTTGAGTTTCCAAATGCGATTTACTGTTGAAACATGCATTGAAAACAAACCACAAAGACATTTTTCTGGGTGCCTTTTTGAAATTATATTTCAAAATCCTGCTAGCTTCCAGTTTAAACTGCTTAATGCACGCCACTGAAAAATGACAAGCTCCTTCGTCTCTCCGTTCATCGATGCAGAAGTATTCTTAGACACTTCTTCTCGTGTAGACTGCACTAGTTAGCAGTACCCAATTCACACATTTTGAGGCCCTTGTTCAGCAAACTAACTATAGCTCTGCTGCAAAGCAGGCTTTAAAAAACTCCTGATCCACAATGCCATGTCAATAACTTCTTTGGACACAGGCGTAAGTAAGAGAAGTAACTCCATTGACCTAAATGCCAGGGATTCTTTATTATTTATTAAAAGTATTTTAAGCCTGCCTCTATTTAAAATATTCGAGGCGGCTTACAAAAATTCACACCAGGAGCAAATTTCTTAAGTTGTTATTTAAAAAGCAACATATGGCAACAAAATTCTGGAAGAGAGAAGACTGACAGGGGCCATGATAGCAGCTTTCGAGTACCTAAAAGATTGTTATAAGGGTGAGGGAAAAATTATTCTTCTTCACCTCTGAGGATAGGACAAGAAGCAATTGACTTAAATTGCAGCAAGGGAGGTTTAGGCTGGACACTAGAAAAACATTCCTATCTGTCAGGGTGGTTAAGCACTGGAATAAATTGCCTAGGGAGGTTATGGAATCTCCATCCATGGGGATTTTTAAGAGCAAGTGAGACAAACAACTGTCAGGGGAGGTCTAGCTGGTGCTTGGTCCTGTCATGAGGGCAGGGAACTGGACTTGACCTCTTGAGGTCCCTTGAGCTTCTTCCACTATTTGATCTGAGGAAGTGGGTCTGGCCCACGAAAGCTCATCACCTATTAAACCATCTTGTTAGTCTTTAAAGTGCTACATTGTCCTGCATTTTCCTTCCAGTTCTATGAGAGTCTATGATTCTACATTCCCTGTACAGGCGACCCCTGACTTACAACCCCCTGCATTTACGACCATTTTTTTCATGCGAGATAGCTCCTAAAATCCCCCAATTTACATCCACAGCTCGCATTTACAACAGTATAGGATGCAGACTTCACATGTCATCCCAACACAGGACAGTCAGACTTGCCAGTCTGCAGCTGCTGCTTGAACTGAGCACATCTCCGCCCCATTGATCTTCATGTTTTAGTTATTTTTGTGCATTATTTGAACTATTTAGTTTAGTTTTCCCCCATTTCCATAGTCAGTTTTAGTATTTTTAGGGTATGAAGTGGGTTTCCAGGAAAAGAACTGCCACTATAACATTGCGCCTATAAGAAATAAGGGTTCAACTTACGACAGTTCTCCAGGAACCAATTAGATCGTAAGTGCGGAGGTCGCCTGTACTGTAACCAATAGGAATAACTGTTTTTGAAATTTCCTGGGTCACAAGGTTCCACCGGTAATTCTTCAGAGAAGCACTACTGACATGCATTCTGTAGTTTGCATTGTGATTAATCAACATTATTTTTAATGATCTTAGATGGAGCTACCTTCTGCCACAGGAGATGGATAAATGTGTTTTAAGTTAACATTACTCTGACATGCCAGAAAACTACTCAGCATGATCCTCAGTGCTTGACAATCACAGAAGGTGCACTGGAGATGAGGGGAAAATGGTGACCGTTTTCAACAAAAAACAAAAATCATTCACTTTTGGAAAATGCAGCATATTCAGCCATCACTACAATAAACTTTTTTTGAGGTGGGAGAAGGGATTTCTCTAGGTCCCTGCCTGAAGCCTGAGCAAGGATCCCTAGGATTCTCCTCACTTTACACACCCCAAATTTAGGCCTGATATTACAATCAAGAAACCAAAGATGCCTCAGCATCTCTAATGCATGCTGGACTGAAAAGGAAGGGGAATGTTCCCTCCTAACTGGGATCTCTTTCATGGGAGTATAGAGGGTTCCAGCTCAGCTAACAGTTTGGATCCATTATTTTATGTGTTTTTGTATGTCCCCATTTTAATTCCCATCCTTTTCTCTCAGGGTACGTCTACACAGCAGGGCTAAAGCTGAAATAAGCTACGCAACTTGAGCTTACGTCAATTGCGTAGCTTAAGTCAAAATAGCTTATTTCGGCTTTTAGCCCTGTCTACACAGCAGGAAGTCTGAGAAAGAGACCTCTTCCTCTGACTTCCCTTAGGGTGCATCCACACAGCCGGGCTTAACTCGAAATTAGCTATGCATATTGAGCTATGTCAGTTGCGTAGCTTATTTCAAAATAGTTTATTTTGAAAAAGGGAGCATCTACACAGCACTTACTTAGAAACAGAGCCTTCTTCCTCCAACTTCCCTTGCTCCTCGTACAATGTGGGTCACAGGAGTCGGAGTAAGAAGTTCTCCAGCTTGACAGCATTTTGACATTATTTTGAAATAACTGCCTGCTGTGTAGACGGAAACTAAGTTATTTCGAAATAACGCTTGTTATTTCAAAAGAATGTTGCTGTGTAGACGTACCCTTATTCCTCAGAAAATGAGTCAGAGTAAGAAGTGCTCCAGCTCAACATTATTTTGACATTATGTTGAAATAATGGCTTGCTGTGTAGATGTGGACTATGTTATTTCAGAATAACACTGCTGTGTAGACTTACTCATAATGACGTACGGAAACAGTCCAAAAATCAAAAAAAGTTACCCGAAGCAGTTTAATAATACAGATTTGGCCATAGGCATTAATACTGAGAATTCAGGTATCATGAATTCAAACACTGTACTTGCCAGTTAAGTACAGTACAAGATTTGTTATATGGCATGCATGGGAAATGGGGTGGCCAGATAAGCAAAGCTGGTTACTCAAGCTTTACACAGGCGGTTTATGAATTTTTCACCATACGCTTGTCCTAGTTGCAGGATGGATAAGATAAAATCTGATAATGGTATTATGTGCAGAAGCACGACATGAACAAAAAAGATGCAAGTTTACAAACTTGACATGCACAAACACCAGAAAATGTCGAAAAACGATGCCGTGTGGCTATCGGAATTTTTCCGGTGAACTGAAGGAGGAATTGTATTGCCAGCTATGATAGATGTCTGTTAACTGCCTTTCCCGGCTATTAAAGTGCTGGATAAGACAGCTTGCACTGTATACAGTATATAATAAAGGGCAGCAAGAGTTGGTGTGAGAGTTATAAAAATGGTCCTGCAAGTATTTGTGCTTGTACAACCACAGATATAACACTGGAGGGGACTTCTACACACTGGTCCTTGTTTGAGCTGTATGTTTGGTTCCCTAGCAGAGTATATTAATGAACATTAATCCTAAATGGCTTGTTCCATCCAAGGTGAATTGGAATATTTTTTTCTGAACATAATTGCCTAGTACAGGCAAATCATCAGCAAAATAAGATGAGGAAAACTACAGATAAATAGGGTTATGGACAATTTCATTGAAAGCCAATTCTTCCTTCATTTGCATGCCGAGTATGGCATGTGAGGCTCTATTTTTTCCCTATAAGCGCTGATGACATCTGAAACAAGCAGAGTAAAGATTGCAACTTTTATTTCAATTCAGGGGTCGTGCCTCGAATTATTCATGATGTCAGGGAAACAAAATGCCACCTTCTAACCTCAGCAGGTGAAAACCTTTCAGTTCCCCTTTAAATGAATCTTGATCAGAGAATATAGCTTCAGTGACCCGAAATACTATGTGTATCACTACAGAACCATTCTTATGGATGGTACATAAATATATAACATTACACTAAATAATATGTGCATCACTGTGCTTATCCAAATGCCAGGCAAATTAATTCAACTTTTCTGTGATAAATCAGGAGAAAAAAATGCCTAATATGCAAAGCTGCTTTAACGCTTATGTGTCAGGAAGAGCAGCGAAGAAAAATGCAAAGCTCAGTAGAGAGGTTTTATTTCTCCTGTAAATGAAATACCAAACAGCTGTCTCTCGGCTAGCATGCAACATGCAACGCTGATAAAAGCATCATTATAACAGGAGCAAATGAGTTGGATCATCACCAGCTGAAAAAAAGACACCCAAAATAGGCAAGCAGAAAGAGATGAATTACTGCAAACAAAAATTTACATTGGAAGAATATATATTTTTGCTGCAGCATATCACTTAAGCAAACTTTTCCAGAGGACAAAGAAAACAGAGCCATTATTATCATACCTTCTTCATGCCTCATCATTCTCCTTTGGTGAGAAACAATGCTTACATCTGCACAATAAAATCCTTTAAAATTGATAAAGCGTATGCATATAAGGAGAGAGAATACACAACAGGGTAACTAGACAGCCAACAGCCACTCCTTGAGTTGCAGCCACATTGAGCATATGGTTATTATAAGGGTGTAGGCAAAACTTTGCCTGCTCCCCTGGAGTTGCTTTAGAAAAAGGGCAGCACCAGAGGGGATGCAATTCTTACAACTTTGCTAAAGGGAGATATGAGCGCGCTGCATTCATGGGCATGTAAAGAAAACCTGCCCCCTGCCATGTACATTGGCCAAACCGGGCTGTCTCTATGCGAAAGAATAAACGGACAAAAATCGGACATCAAGATCAGTAACGTTCCCAGATCAGCCAGAGAGCACTTCAACCTGCCTGGACACTCCGTCGCAGACCTGAAAGTTGCCAGACTTGGGCAAAAAAAAAGGCAAAACCAAACTACAGTGTGAAACTGCAGAGCTGGAATTCAGAGGCAAACTTGACCCTATCAGCCTGGGTCTGAACAGAAACTGGCAGTGGCTAGCTCACCACAAAAAGTCATTTCCCTCCTCACTGCCAGGGTTGGCCCAAGCCCTTCTGGCGCCCTGGTCGAGGGCACGTGGCGCCGCCTCCGGGCGCATGGAGCATGCGTGGGCCCATTTGTGGGGTGCTGGCCTGCCCCCCCCAGGGGGCGCGGGCCCACCTCCAGGGCGTACGGCGCATGCGCAGGCTGGCTACAGCCGCTGGTGCGCAGCCCAGGACGCAAGGCGCATGCATTGCCCAGCCGAGCCTGGCCAGCGCTGCTGGCATGCGCGCTAGGCCATGCAGGGCCCCGCGGCCATGGGGGGAAGGGCGCTGCCGGTCGGCGCTGCGGGAGCTGGGCGAGCGGCACCCCTTACAGCTGCCATCAGGCGCCCCCCACCGGTTGGTGCCCTAGGAAGCTGCCCAGCTCGCCCATGCTTCCGTCCGGCCCTGCTCACTGCTCATCAACTGATGGATGTGGGCCACATCCACCCTAATTCAATCGATCTTCTTAACACTGGTCCTCCTCATAGTAATGTAACACGCCCCTCTTTGTATGTGTGTATATCCCTGCCAGACTGAACTTTCCACTTCATGCAGCTGACAAAGTGAGCTCAAGTCCATGAAAACTTATGCCCAAATAAATGTGTCTAGATTACAGGGTTTTGTCAACAAAAGTGGACTTTTGTCGACAAAACTATACCTGCGCCTACACTGTCACTGAGTTCTGTCGACATAACGTTGACAGAACTCAGCAGTTTTGTCGACGGCTGTAAACCTCATTCTACGAGGAATAACGCCTTTTGTCGACAGAGTTCTGTCGACAGAAGGCATTATTGCATCTACACTGTCCTTTGCGTCTACGCTGTCATGTCGACAAAGTGGCTTGCTGTAGTCTAGACGCTCTTTGTCGACAGAAGCTTTGTTGACAGTATCTGTCGACAAAACTTCTGCCAACAAAAGCCTGTAGTCTAGACGCATCCTAAGGTGTCACAGGACTCCTTGTTGCTTTTACAGAAAACAGACTTCCTACTGAGTCCCCAAATTCCCATTGACTTCACCTTCCTCATTAAAATGAGTAAACAAAGAAAAAAAGCCAATAATGTTTGGCCACCACTAGCCTTCCTCCAGACAGTCATGTTCCCAAAACAGTGCTGTAATCCGTCATTGTTGTGCAATGGTTCTTCATGCTGGTTGTGTGGTGTATTAGAAAGCAAAAGTTTAGAATTTCTCCTCAACATTGTAGGTTGGAGAAGTGCCGAGGAAACTGATCACCAAACTAAGCAACTGGAGTGTTCCGTATTTTCGTCTGATGGAACGCATGAGTCCCATTCAATTAAAAAAATCTGGTATCACAGACTTGGGAATAACTTGACAATGCATTCAGAGCACTGGTCATTTTAAACTTTCAGAAGTAATGAGAGAGAGAACGTGGACAATCTCCATAAAAGTTCCACAAAGAGCTGTCCAAAGAAAGAGACCATCTTTCCCCTCTTAAGTGACAAAGGCAAGATCAGAATTGCAGACCACTGGAGTTTCAGAGGGTGTATGGCCATCAGAACTGTATGGAAACTAACTGTTGGGACTTTGCATCTTCTCCATTTTCCTACCCTATAAAAGCAAGTGCCCACACAAGCAAGTCACTTCTCACTTGTGTTATTCAGTTGATACAAAGCTGATCTCAGCATATTTTTACTATTCTAGGGCGGGAGCTGAAATGTGGTCATCAGAAATACCTGCTTACCTGATGCTAGAGCTCTTATCGATGCAAAATTCCCATTGATTTAAATGCAAGCTATGCAAGTGTATGCGCTGAAGGCCTGCTCTTACTGGTGTCTTCTCTAGGCGTGAGGTAGTGTGAGGGGGCAAAGAAGCAGAAGGGGTGGTCTTCATGCAAATCATCATTAGACTGATTTGTCTGGCTTAAAAGGGTGTTGATTCCCATAGACCGTCCCGTGTAGTTGAAGAAACACAAACCGTTGGAAGAAAACAAATGGCAACATCTCCTCAGCTACACAGAAGGGTTTAGATGAACCAACCAGCGAGACAGACTCAAGACTAATGATCTTCCCAAAGTTTCCCGCTACTTACAGTTTCTCCTCTCTGGCCGGGGTGACCGGGCAATCCATCCTTCCCTGGTGGACCCTGAAGAAGAAAAAAACACAAGGATTTTGAACAGGTGTCCAGTAGTACCCTATTAAATTGTACCATGCTAGTTGGTGTGCATATACCAGCGCCAACTCTCTTTGTCAGATGGAATCAGATCTGCTCATATGTTTGGACACGGTGTTCCAAGATGCTGACCCTCCACTGCTATTTTTTTTTCAGTGGGATTTGGGGTTACTCAAAGGCCTTGCCAGAGCTGGCCCTTTTTCACAGACTCTCCAAAGATGGTGAGAGCAATGGAGAGTCTTCCTTTAGATCAAGGCAGGAGAATGGTCCTGACTCCTCCAGAGGAAAGGAAATGAACCTCAAAAAGAGCTTCTGTGGGCACACTCCAGCACACCACAGTTGCTGGAGTAAAGGTGATGCAAAGAGAAGGCTGATGGTTTGTAAATACTATTGACTGAGTCCTGAGCATGTGGATTATATATTATTACTGGCAGCATCTGCTTCAGTTCGTTAAAATCCCAATCTGCCATGCTATTAATACAGGTGCCTCTCTAATGTCTTTTGTTGGGTATGTAGCCGCTTCTCAGCAAAGAAGCTAAAACTGAGTTGGTGCAGGCAATAGCACCTGGATGGAAAACATCTAGCATGTTTCTTTGCTCATTCTGGAAGGGGTGTTACTTACAGGGGGGCCTTTTGGTCCAGGAAATCCAGTTGGTCCTTGAGGTCCTGGTGGTCCCTGGGATGAAAAACAATCCGGTAAAAATGCATTTGAAGCAACACACATCTTATTGTGAACTATTTCAGGAGTTTGGGATATGTAGCACTAGCCCTGCAACTGAAGAAATCTCACTAGCATGTAAGCAGTCACTGAGGAAACTGGTCCTCTCGAAGGAGAGCATGAATGAATAACTACCTCTGGGCAAAAGTACCTCAGCCTTTGGCCTAACTGGCAAAGGGGATGTAAATGGTAAAAGGGTCTTTAGGCTCAGAGATCACCTCCCCACCAATGTCTGCAATCACGTCTTTTCCCACCATGATTGATGTGGAAAGGAGGCTGGAGTTACCAAAATCGGTCTCTCTAATATGTTATGAAAAGACTTACTGGAAACAATGGGTCTTGTCGCTTTACGGCCATGACTCTCTGTACCCGTTTAACTGAGGGGAGTGTAGCTATGTTCTAAGCTCAGGGAATTGAGCATGTTTACAAGTTTCAGAAGCAAAATGCAGGACAATGTAGCACTTTAAAAAGGGACAGAGGAATTCGAGAGGCACTGTGCCTCCACAGAACTACAGCTCAAGCTTGGTTAATGGATGCCTGAGGATTCTGCATCCTTTTTCGTGGTCACCATGAGTGAACTTCATCCCTGTAGAGTCCAGCACCTCAGCTATATACCATTGAAGTCCCACTTAAGCCTTATCTTGAAGGAATAAGTGAGACTGAAGCGGTACCTAGACAGTCTGCATAGAGGTGAATTTCATCTCCTATTTCTAACCAGAACTTCATGGTTTTGAATGAAGTTTGCCAAAATGGCTGCAGATCCTAGTTGCACGTCAGTACTGGCAGGACTCGAACTACAAAACTGATCTTAGGACTGCCTGTTCAAGGCCAGGCTTCTCTTTTGTTTCCGCAGTAGCCACATCTGGACTCACTTACCCTTTCGCCAGGAGGACCTGGGGGTCCATCACCACCGGAGTTGCCCTTTTAAGAATAAATGAAACACAGCATTAACAATCATTGCAGCCACTTCACACAACCGTCCTAAATGGCAGCAGGCAAAACGGGGCCATCACTCAGCGTCCATCTCCCCTCCCCCTTTTTATTAATAATCCTGCTTTGGCAACAATGGCCTATGACAAATGAGCAACCCACTGATTCACCTCCCTTTCGGCTGGCCCCCTCCGAACCCTTGCGTTTCTGAATACAAATATAGAACCGATCATGTCAGTGGGCTTAGGAGATTTCCACCAGATAATAGTCTCATTCTGTGAGATAAATGCTGCGGCAACACTGAGGTATTTATCAAAAATTAATGTTGATACAAAGCCGGGACATTTATTTTTAAGGCAGCCAGTGTGGCTGTGACAACGTTTCATTACAAAGGCTTTATTTCCATTATCCCAAGTGATTGATGGTCACTGAATCCGTTTATCTCGCGGATTCTGGCACAGAAGAGCGGCTTGCCAAAGGTGCAATTGACCCTCTGACACCCGGTTGGCTTAGAAAACAATGCCTATTGTGTGCGCCAGCCAATCAGAGACCATCCATCTTCATAAACAGCACTGTTTTGTTTAAAGAATTAGACAGTTGTGGTCATTTGAACGGGTTCTTGTTACCCGATGGTGAGATTGGCTTCTTTGCAGAGGGGCCAGTAAAAAGTCTATGAATCACCTTATGTTCTACTTAAGCAGAAAGGCTTAAGAGGGATTTGGGCTGGTCCCCACTACAGGAGTGAGGCTATGTCTAGACTACAATGGTCTATTGGAAAAAGGTATGCAGAGGAGCCCTTCTTCCTTGTGAAAAGAGGAAGACAGGGCTTCCAAAAGAGCGTGTCTGCTCTTCTGCACACAAAAAAAGCGGACGCACAGATGTGTTCTCCGGATGCGGAGGAGTTTTTCCGCAGAAAAACCCATAATCTAGATGTAATCTAGATGTAGCCTGAATTTCACCATGGGAGGAATACAGGTTCGTGAAGCAATTGAATTGCTGAATGAAAGGCACACGCTTTTGAAAGACACCAGTAACATTTTCAAGAGTCCGTAACTATCAAGATACCTTATTCTCATTTTACAGTCATGTGTTGGTTAAGGTGTCAATGTCTTTCCAGAAGAGCACTTAAGACCAACTCATATTTGGGATTCAGACTAAGAATCTTAGACCTGATTTTATGTTAGGGAATGTTATGCCCCTCTCAAGACTGCAATATCAGGATGCTGGTATGTTGTTTTTTCAAGAATATTTATCAGGTAATAATGGTGTGAATATATGATAACTTCTGCTTAAGAAACATTAAGAAAGGATACTACATTGCACTTATATTTAGCCTTCTCTCAAATGATTTCAGCATGAGTTAATCACACAAATTAAGTCTCCTTGTAAGGCAGGTGAGTGGTATTTACAGGGTAGTACTTGACCAGAAACTTAATATACAGCTATTTCTCAAAACACAGTGTTATTTTTCAATTACACTAAAAGCTCCTAAAACCTACCTTAGGGCCAGGCTTTCCAGTGCTGCCTCTTGGACCTCTTTCACCACGTGGACCCTTAAAAAGACACAAAAAAGTCATCAAATATATCAGCACTTGCTGCTCACAAGTGCTATTTTGATTCTCAGGTCCTTGTTTAGCATACCCCTTAAGCAAGTGAGTCACATTGAGCCAATGAAAAGTCCCACAGAACTCAATGAGATGAGTTCCAATAGTTCGCTAGATAGAAACCTGTAGCCTGAGCCAAGGAAACCAGATTTGGCTTTGGTTCAAATCTCAACCCTCAGTTTACCAAAGCAAAAGTCAGGCTCTGGATTCCACTGCCTCCAAATCACCAAAATCAACTAATGAGCCAAATCTTTCCCACTTTACTCACAGGAATAGGTCTAGAGACTTCATAGGAATGACTCAGGTGTGTATGACATGTAGGGTTTGGGACAGGTTTCAGTTACATGCATCTGTATCATGGACAAACCAGGACAGTTGTGAATTTGCAAGCCTTTGTTGGTCAAGGCTTTTGTTTTAGACAACCCTGCAAGGTTTGGATCTGGGTTTGATTCTACTTGAGCCACCAACGTTCATGGGAGGTGAAGGGAAGGAAGAAGAGAGGAATTAGACTAAAAATATTCCAGTTCTGGTCCATCTCCTTTTGACAAACACTCTAGAAAAATCAAGGAGGGAATTAACTGGTTCCTAGCTTCAGAAGATGTAATTAACGCCAGTCTACGGAAGACACGGGATGAAAGCCTGGCTCCATTGAAGCAAACAGCAAATTTCCCATTGATTTTCATAGTGCCAGGATTTCACCCACTGATTCACAGAAGTTCAGGATCTGGTCATTGTGTACGTTTTATATTTTTAAGTGGAGATGAGCCACAATGTTTGGATTTCAAATGTGTCTAAAATCTGATGGCTGTGTTTTGGTTGGCCTCTCATATGAACAGGCAACTGTTTGCAAAATTCCGATTTAGCTACAAGAGTGAAATACTGGGAGCTTGGTTCGGATCTTTCACTATGGGGAGATTTCCCAACACAAAAGCACCTAACTTGTCAAAGTTTTCACTAGGAATTAGAGCACCTCATTCCTCCACTCAATTATATAATCTTAAGAAAATTCCTTTGAAAGGTATTGTTAGAAAAAAAGGCATGATTACCGTTGGACCTCGCTGCCCCCTTGGTCCTGGTTTGCCAGGCGTACCCTGGAATAAAAGAGAAGAAAACATAATGTCACGTTCATTTGATGGCTGTGTTGGCATGAAATGAACATGCCCGTGCAGACCCAAACAAATCCTGTGACACAATTTCCTTTTGATTTCTGTTTCTAATGAAAGAAAAACAAGGGTTATGCAGATTGAAACCTCACATTACATTTTATTTGCCTTTTGTGATGTTTGAATGGGCTAGATTGTAATATGAATGCTCTGATGAAACTTGACACGATAATTCGAACTGGGCGGGCAGAACATCTGTTCTTTACTGCTGCATGGAGGGATATCATCTTTCACAGAGGGACACAGGTTTTTTTTTAATTCTCTGCGCACAAGAGTTTCTCTTCATTTGCCTTACCATGACATAACAGAACTTTCTGAAGGGACAGCTTTTTCTATAGCTGGTCAAAAATATGTAAACCTATGACAGCAGAAAAATGTTGACACATCTGAAAGTTGTTTTCAAAGCATTTGACATGGGTTGATTTGGGGCCATTTCACATTTTCAAATTGCAATGTTCAAAATCTGTTTTTCTGTACACTGTTGCTTCTTTTGAATTTTTTGGATTTTAAATATTGCGAACCTTATCAATATAGTTACAAAACTTCTTTAATTTACTGTTTATGGAAACATTGCTAGTGTGCTTTCGGAGCACTGTTGATGGGGTAAAAAGCACCTTTTGTTCAAAAACATTGAAAAAAGGTGGATCATTTTCAATGAACAAGTCATTACCAAAGGCTGTTGGTCCATGGTTGTGGTTGTGCAGCCATCTCTAGCTATAAATCCCATTTTTCTAGGACACTGATGTAAAAGTGAATCCACTTTTCATCAAGCCCCTAGAGAGGATTCCGGCAGATTTTAGATTACAAAGAGCAAAGGGAAGAGTAGTTAATTGTCCATCTAATGAGCCTATATCCTGACCACATGAGACCACTTTTAGAGGACAGTTTATTCTTCATGCTTATTCAAGATTTAGGTCTCTTCATTAATGAGAATGCCAGTTAATACCTGCTGCAGTCATCTGTCCTAGAAGGGCTGACCTTTGTAAGACTGCATCTCACACCCGTCAACAGTCACCAGGTGAAAATAATTGTTGAACTAGATGTAAATGGGAGACCTAGCATGAAAAACTCAGTATCCTATAATTAGCTTCTTGCACCAGCCTGTTCATTAATGAAAAGGCAAATAAACAGTTAAAGAATAAACTTAATGACTTTCAACAGCTGTTTCACTGTTCTGCTGATCTCTTTTACTTTTGCAAATACTGCATTGCACCTGGAAAGCTTGTATTTCCGCCAGGCGGGTCTAAGCAAAGGTGGGCTGGATTGTGTAGACGAGCGAAGGCCACGGGTTGATTTAAATGCATGCGGATGAGATGTGAGTTGATAAATATTTAGAAATGACAGAAGCCGCACTGGAACCCTAATCTAGGCAATTATTTTATGCAACACAAGCCAATTAAGCTGCCCCACATATGGACATGCCTTTTTTCATCTTTGTAGGCTTGGCGCTAAATAAGTAATTTAAGACCCTGTTTTGCAGCAGTTTGACACAACAGCAGGTTTATAAGATCTGACAGATGAACTCAGTTTCCTGTAACAGGAGATTATGATTAATTCTGACAGGAAAAAGATAGAGATGGTTGGGTCCTAAATCTAACATCATATTACACTCCATTATTAGGTGCCTAGAAGTAATGTAATGGCCTTGTTCTTTCTCTCTGAAATCAATGTTCTGGCTAATGCCAAGTTATCAACAAAACAGCCATGGCTTTAATGTTCTTATTTTGGACCAGTGATCCAATATTCTACATGGGCATAAAATGCAGAAGAAAGTGAATGAGTGACATTTTTTTGCATGCTTAAATTACCACTTTCAGTTTTTCTGCCCCAAAATCACCACTTATAAACCTTGATGTCTCTTATTTGGCATTTATTAACCACCCCAATACAGAACAGGCGGTGGGGTATGTCTGTTTTAAAGTCTAGTAAAATAAGCCAGGTTGTACTTCTGCTTGTCATGAATTCACTTTTCCTACAATGGTAATCAAAGTAACATTTCAGCAACAACAAAAATGAAGACATTTTCTATATGGCTTTTCTTGAAGTATAATGGGCTAAATCCAGATGTGATGTAACTTGATACAGACATCTTCACTGCAGCCTATCCCATATGAACCTTTGTTAAAAGTGTTGAAGCCAGAAACAATTTTTGCACAGCCTTTTGCTAGTTCTAATAGTTTATACGGCATTGTATGCTGACACTGTTATTACTGATCTATACATATATATTTTGGAGTCTGTCTGTATCTGTAAGTGAGTCCATTTGTTCAAGAATTCCTCCTAAACAGTAAGGCTATGTCTAGACTGGCAAGTTTTTCCGCAAAAGCAGCTGCTTTTGCGGAAAAACTTGCCAGTCTAGACATAGCCTTACTGTTTAGGAGGAATTCTTGAACAAATGGACTCACAGACAGTCAGACAGATAGACAGACGTACTCTAAAGCTATGTCTACACTGCAGGCTTGTTGCACAAGAACTTTTTGTGGAAGAGATCTTCTGCAAAACGTTCTTGCGCAGGAGTGTGTCCACACTGCCATGTGCTTTTGCAAAAAGCGCATCTAGATTGGCACGGACGCTTTTCCGCAAAAAGTGCTTTTGCAGAAAAGCATCCGTGCCAATCTAGATGCTCTATTCCGTAAATGCTTTTAACGGAAAACTTTTCTGTTAAAAGCATTTGCGGAAAATCATGCCAGTCTAGACGTAGCCTAAGAGCTAGGACCTTCAAATTTAATATATATAGTTTCATCTTATCCTAACTTAAAGCAAGGTCAGGGTTTGGTTGTGCCAGGAAAAGGATGATGCCTGGAATGGGACTGTTTTCCATGACACGGAAAGGGAGGGGGATGATCAGAGGACAATGACACTGCAAAGTGACAAGTGCTGGCAGCCGCAGGAGTGGCCAGCTGGAGACAGAGTTCCACATGTCTGGCTACCAGTCCTGGTAAGTGTCCCCCCCACCTCAAACAGTGCCAGATGCGGGGGAGACCGCCACCCACCCACCAGCCCTGCTGCCCCTCCTGGAATCACCCCCAGGCTGGGAAGCACAGCCTGGCCACCACACAGGAGAGGCCTCCCTCAAAGAGAGGACAGGACTGGGAACCACTGCTCCTCCCCTCCACCTCCAGAGAAGATGCACTGCTGGAGGAGAAGCTGGGAACCACAGCCGGACCCTCCTGAGTGGCCCCCCCACCTTGTCCCAGAACAGCTACAGGGCTGTTAGGTGCTATACATGCACAGAATCAGAGGGATTAGGTGTCCCTAAGAAACAGACAAGGCAGGGGAAAAAGCAGCATTATTATTCGCATGCTATGGATGGAGAAATGCGTCATGAAGAATTGAAATGACTTACCCAACATCACAGAAGAAGTCCATGGCAAAGCCATGTATTAAACACAGATGTCCCAAGTCCCAAACCATAAAATGCCATCTACTTCCCAGTACTGCCTGACATAGCCCCTATCCTGAGGCTAGAAACCAGGCTACGCTGAGAAAGCCCAGCGTTTTAGAAGGCTATGTGATGCAAAGTTTCTAAACTCAATTATTTTGGGTACCAGGGAAGCTGTGTGTGTTCCCAAGGATTTGAATGAGGCGAGTTGGAGAGCTGTCAGAGGAAGAGTTGCAGAGAGGAAGGTGTAGAAATGGGACTCCCAGAAAGGAAACACATGAGTTTCCAGGCAGGAATCCTAAGCGGAGCACACGGACCTATTGATGAATATGATTTTTTTCCTTACACTGCCTGGATGATTTTTCCTTGGTTCCAAGTCTGTTTGGTCCCTTGGGAAGGACAGAGACACAAAGGCCGTGTCCAGACTCAGGGGTTTTTTCGGGAAAAGTAGCCTTTTCCCGAAAAAACTTCCCCTGCGTCCAGACTCAAGCCACGTTCTTTCGAAATTATTTCGAAAGAACGCGGCTTTTCTTTCGATGGCGGTAAACCTCGTTTCACGAGGAAGAACGCCTTCTTTCGAAAGTTCCTCTTTCGAAAGAAGGCGTTCTTCAATGTAAAGAGGCCGTCTTCGAAAGAGAGCATCCAGACTCGCTGGGTGCTCTCTTTCGAAAAAGCGGATTTCTCTTTCGAAAGATCCGCCTGCAGTCTAGACGCGATCTTTCGAAAGAAGCCTGCAGTCTAGACATAGCCAAAGAAACATTGCAGTGTATGTTTTAGTCCATGTGCTTGCTCTCTTTAAAACGTCCAGCCTTTCTTATAGAATAATGAGGAAGCCTCCCTTTCCTTTGACAAAATCATCTCAAGGTCTTTCCTAGTGCAGACAGACTTTGGCCCTGTTTGCTAAACTGATTAGTGAGTGCAATTGTGCATCATTATTCAGTGGGTTTGACCTGGACCTCTCTGAAACATTGCTTCTTCTTGCAGCTCAAAAGAAACGTATCTGCCAAAAAAACAGAACTTAGATGAAGCTACCATCTAATGAGCATGCTGCCTGCTAGCTGCACTTGTCAAAAGGATCGATATATTTAACACGCTTTAGAGCTAAAGGAATTCATAAGCCAAAGGTCCTTTCCTGCATGGTACTGTTGTATAGTTAAAGAGTTAGGAGAGCTCTCTAAGGCTTGGAAGATCTCATGTCTCTGCAGGTTTTCAACAGCATTGGAATTTGGCATTCTGAAGGGAGGTAAGAAGGTACTGTTGTTGGTACTTATATGTTTTATGTGCCTTTTTTAATGACTCAAGAAGCTATTTGGGTAGCTTAAATAATGAGCATGGGAGAGAAGGTTAGGTCTATAATACCGGAGAAAGTTGACAAGATATGCAACTCCAGCTATGAGAATAGAATACCTGGACTTGACATACCTTACGTTGACTTTCTACAGAGTTCCCACTGTGGGAGGTCGACAGGAGAATTTCTCCCATCCATTTCCTTTTTTTCCTCACAACCCTGTTGAGTACTGGGGTCGATGGGGGCGCCATCAGCGGT